ATGGCCTTTGTCCTTAAGCGTAAGACAAGCTTCTGAAGCTGTGTCCATAAGGGGTTAACAGCTACACTGTATATATTATTTTAACATTTATGTAATTGTATGTATAATTGAGTATTATGTTTCTTTAAAGTTACATCATTATTTAAAAGAAATTACCTATGTTCATGGCTCATATTTTGATGAAAATGGAGAATTTCGCTTTTACTATTTGATTGAATATAATATTATTGCAAAAGAATCTGAAAACCTAAACCTTCATTATATTGTGGGCAACTTTACACCGTGGGCACCTGAGGACCAGCAACTTTCTACAAACTTCCAAACTATAATTTGGAAGACTCCAAACAAAGAGGTTAGAGAGGTTTACTCGCTTTCTTTGTAACTAAGATTCTTTGACATAGCATAAGTTGACATAGCAAACCGCTGAAGTATAAACATTGCCATAGTCTTGGTTTTTAAATCATAATAAATCTTTCAAATGATTGCTTTATTTTCTTTTTTAAAATTCACTTAAAATCTGGGCACTTCCTATGTGTCAGTATTATATAGCAGAAAGGGTTAATTCCCAAATCATGCTTATAAGCTATTAATACATATATAAAATATTTAAAAAAAATAAAATAAATAAATAAATATATATATATATATATATTTGTTATGATTACAGTTATTGAAGTTTAAATTCAAAACTTCATAGACATGGCCAGTCGTGGTGTGGTTTATGTGTCACATTCACTAGTGGCTGAGAACAGGGGTCAGGTCCTGAGGAAAAAAGTGTAGGAACTCACCCAAGAGTGTGTTTGTAGTGAATGCAGAGTGTGTATAATGAATGTAGTGTGTTTGCAGTGAGTGCAGAGTGTGTATAATGAATGTGTGGTGGAATCTCGGTAAAAATAAATTTAGTAGGCCGAGATTACCACGTGGCATGTGTACGTGCATATGCTGACGTATCGATCAGTTGGTTGCACGAGGCAAGATACGATCAGTAGTGTACGGAGCATGTGCAAGAATACAGGATGTAGTATTCCCCTCCTCCATTGTGCTGGACAAGCCATGCGGTCAAGCAGGAAGTTAATTCTTATTTGTAATGATTGGTCAAGAGAATGTGCGGGTGGAGCTTAATATGGGAGGAGTTATGTGCCTATATAGGGAGCCTGCACTATTGTTCAGGGCTCAGAACTTGCTGTATTTTTGGTGACATTAGTCCCTCTGAGTCCCGATCGGTGATCCAATAAAGAATCTCTTCCTTCCTGAAGAAACCTGTGTCCATCTCTCTGTGCTTTGCTTCCGTCAGTTTCTCCGGTATCAAATGTAGTGTGTTTGTAGTGAGTGCAGTGTGTATAATAAATGTAGTGTGTAATAATGAGTGCAGAGTGTGTATAATGAATGCAGTGTGTTTGTAGTAAGTGCAGAGTGTGTATAATGAATGGTGTGTTTGTAGTGAGTGCAGAGTGTGTATAGGGAATGCAGTGTATGTGTGGTGAGTGCAGAGTGTGTATAGTGAATGTAGTGTATTTTTATTGTAGTAAGTACAGATTGTGTATAGTGTATGTAGTGAGTGCAGAGTGTGTATAATGAATGTGTGCTGGATGATGTGTGTGTGTGTGTGTTAGGGGGGAAAGCATTTTTTTAAAATTTGTGTTTATATTTTTAATTTTATTCCCACCTCCCTGCTTCTTACCTTGTCAGGGAGGGGGGAGATCACATTCCCTGGTGGTCCAGTGGTATGGTGGAGGGAGCCAGCTGCTGCACACGGGGGCCAAGCAAACTCTGTGTTCCCTCTCCAGCTCTCTCTAACTCTCGCGAGACCCACCTGCGTGCTGTGCGGAGCATTGCCATGGTAACCCGTGGCAACGCTCTGACGGCCGCGGGTCTCGCGAATGTGAGACACAGAGCAGCTGGAGAGGGAACACAGAGTGTGCTGTGCCCCTGTGTGCAGGTAGCAGGGAAGGTCCTGTAGGACTACTAGCGGGAAGGGCGTTCCTGCTTTGGAAGAAGTGCAGGAATGCCATTTTAATGCGTTCCTGCAGGACTCGAGCCCTGGCTGAGAAGAATAGTCTTTTATTAGTACAGAAATGTTGTGCACCACCCGTGGTCGGTCAACAAGCAGATTCTGTGGTAGGATTTAATGAGATATCATCAAATAGAAATGTTTGTGTCTAAAGTGTGTGAAGGATAAATTAATCTATAATATACATTTAGTATTTTATTGTTATTTCAATTTTAGATGCCACGTTCACAGTGCTCAGAAAACTGCCCACCTGGAAAGAGAAAAGTCCCAGGACCTACAATCCATAGCTGCTGTTATAACTGTGTCTCGTGTTCAGAGGGCGAAATATCCAATATATCTGGTATAATAAAACACCATTACTGTAAATCAAAGCTACGTATATGAGGTACCTGTTGTGAGGTAGAGTCTGAAGTATTGGCTGAGAGTTAAGGTAAAGGATGTGGTCAGGCAAGCAGAGTCAGCAACAGGCTATTTTACATACAAGAACAAAACAAGGATCAGTCAAAGGTTACTCACAATCTGGAAGTAAAGTACAGATTCAGCAGTCAGAAGAGTAGTCAGGCAAAAGAAGAATAAAAAATCCAGTAGCAATCGGAGGAAAAGCACACCCAGGAAATGACCTAAATAAATGGGCCCAGAGTACAAGAAGTGCTGAGATATATAAGGGCTGAGGTGATTGCAGATTTACTGCAGCTGGCAGGTAGGTGAAGCCATGGAGTGCTAAAAGCAAAACTACCGAATGGAGAGTAGTGTGGGAAATACTTTTCCTTGTAACTGAATGGGAGAACCAACCAACAGACCCAGGTTCAAATCCCACTAAGACTAAGCAATCTGGATGATCTATAGAGTGATCAGTTTAGGTCACACAGTAAAGGCAGCAGAAAGACTTGGACAATGGTAGGTTTCTGCAGAGTGAATGGATACATGAGGCAATTAAATAGTTTAATGTGGAAAGACAACTGGGACAAAGTCTTTGAGAGAAACAGAGTCTTTCGAATGAGTGGTTAGAGTAAGAAAGTAATGAAGGAGTTTACTATGAGTAGAGTAAACAATGTTCACAATAACAGGGCAATGATTGAATTGACTGATACTGGGGGTCAACCGATTCACAGGTACAGCCAGAGAGAATAAATACATAACATAGGCTGTGGTCTGAGGATGGTAGCAGACATGAAGGGGTGATCATCTTAGAGAGTAGTCAAGAAGGAGAGCCAGGGCCAGGAGACAAGAATGGAGCACAAGGCACTCAAGGTTAGAAATGGCATGGGCAACTCAATAATCCAGCAATGATGTTAGTGATGGGCAATGATTGAAGACAATTATTGTTTAAATCAACTTATGTGAATTAAACATTGAATCATGAAATATGCAAATTAATATCTTCAGGCACTTACAGTGTTCAAACGGCAAGCAGTTTTATTGGATCAAAAATAGTGACACAGCAATTTTTCAACCTTCTACAAGGACTTTGTCACGCTTGACACTAATTTGGATCTGCTGGCCCTGCTTCAAAATGGCCTGTGGTGACTTAATTCCGGTGCTCTCTTGGTATAGAGTGCAGTTTCATTGCTCTATTTTCATAATATATTGGATCATACATCATACATGACACATAGGTCCAAATTAACTCCTCTTTGGCATTTTCACAGAGGGACAACACTTTGTATTAACCTTGATGTAGATATTTGGTGGCAGAACTGGTGTTATTCCTCAGTTATACTCCTGCTGCTTTCATTTTCTTTAATTGACTACAGATCATTTTACTTATGCACAGTTTTTACCAGGAGAGGCTTAGTTTCTTTTAACCTACACAACCTATACAACTCTTTATCTGCTCTACCAATATAAACTGTACATTAACTCAGTATTGGACTAACCTCTAATTAGAACAGCTAATAGTCATAAAGTGTGTGTACGATTGCAACTATATATATATAGTTGTCTTGGCACTCACCCTTGGGGTATATTAGAACAAAATCTTGCCTTGGTGCAACCTCAGTGTACAAATATATATATATATATGTTTTAAGGCCATTTGGCCTGTATTTATGGGAGGGGCTTAAATTAATTCACTCCCCTATATAAGGGACACCCCTTACCTGACTCATATCGCTTGAGGTCAGCATCAGAATGATTTCCACTTCCGGGTCATCCAGACGCCATTTTACCTGATTACTCCATGAGGTTTTCTAAGCTGAGCTGTGTCAGGAATTCAGCCACAGGCTTTTCCGGCCTACCACCTTCTTTCTTCAATCTATTGCTGTGGATGGTGTCCAAGTGACTCACAAACCGTAAGTCGACCTACCCGTTACGCCAGGCATCAGTCCCACGGCACCATGCACGGGTCAGGTCCTCACTTTACGGCTGCATTTGGTCTAAATCTGTCCTAAAACCATTGCATGTTCATGCATATCATTCGTTTAAACTCACTTGTTTATATCTGTCACTGGCTCATTTCGAGCATTAGCATACTTCCAAAAGGGAACACATTCTGTTTCAATTGCCTAAACATACTAGGCAATTCTGTGCGTGCATTTCGAATCTCACTGCTCGTTTCGTTTTGTTTCCCTGGCATACCAGGCTCACGATTCGTGCAATTTTCTACCAAACGGGTACTAGTTCATGCATTTACTATTGTACTACACACACGTTTCGTGTGTTTACAACCCGTGAACAGAACTTTGGTTTGTTACAATGATTGTTATTAAGCTATTATGTTCACTTATTGTATATTGTCAAACGGGCACTGTTTGTTTCACAACTATAATGCTGGGGCATAGCTCACAAACAATGTTTCACATAAACCACACTGACCCCTACAGGTCACTCTCAAAATCTCACGTTAACCTTGCCTTTGGATTAACCCCTTAAGGACCAAACTCTGGAATAAATGATATGTCACACATGTCATGTATCCTTCAGGGGTTAAAGGGTATTTTACCATAAATCAGCATTTCTGACCCCTACTGGTCAACAGCAAAACTGTCTTCACATGTCATATACAATTACCAGCCAATATAAATTACACATAAGATTGTTTTAAACATAACCATAAACCATGAATTAAACTCCAACACGGGCTCAATTTCAGGTTTAATTCACAATAATTTACATTTCACATTAAGACTAACAGTGGTTCTATCAACACTGCCACCTACAGGTCTGTCAAGTACATTGACAATTTTCATGGGGTTTTACAAACACCAAAACACTGACCCCTATAGGTCAACAGACAAACAACATTTCACATACCAATCAGTATCAACTACACTGCCACCTATAGGGCACTCAGCAGATCTCCAGTGCACTTGCATTTTGCAACTCCATGTTCACTTGCCATTCAATAAGGCATACAACAATTCACATAGCAAGCAGTATATCAATATCTGTTATAAATACACATATTACACAGTAGCACACGCATCTGTATATACGTAACTGGTAATATGGTTCACATACATACGGCACTTAATGGGTTAAGATTGATACATATTTAACCAGTATGGATATGATGTTTAATATTTACATATCACGGCACTTTACTTTCACATATACTGTATGTTTTAAGATAAGCTTGGTCTATGCCATATTTCCTTATGCCATACGATTTTATCCATTCAGGTTACAGTTACTACTAAAAAACCTATAAGGATTGTCAGGTTCAATACCATACTACCAGGTACGTACACCTGCTCACGTAGTTATCCATCTCTTACCTTCCCTGGAATAGTAATAGTGTACCGGCAATTAGGGTTCTAGGGCCCAATAGGTATTACCCCCTTTTTTCTCTGCATTATGCTTCAGTTAGTGGTCCCGCGAGGCCAACACCCCGCCTCACACTCGGAGGCATACACCCCTCGGGCCACTCGTGAGCTAGCCGCCTCGCATTGTATCATAGAGAGGGCCTCACCTGTCACTCCCCTTCCTATTTTTCTGGTTACTGTCACCGAGAGGCCAACATCCTGCCACAACGTTCGGTGGCCACACAAAATCCCCTCGCGCCAAGCATAGATAGAGCCTCTCGAGCCACTTGGCAACTAGCAGGGCCTCACCAGTCACCAAAAAAAAAAAACACCAAGCCTAATCGTTTCGCCTTACGGCTTAGCTAGCAAGCCGGTACAAGACCCCTGGGTACAAATATATAATTGCAATCTTTATTGTTATTTAAGTATTTCTCAAAAAGATGGTAAAGAATCACCTCTTCCTAGCACCACGGCTAGAAGTGATACACCTTCATCTCTTACCTTCCCTGGAATAGTAGTAATGTACTGGCAATTAGGGTTCTATGGCCCAATAGGTATTACCCCCTGTTTCTCTGCTTTACGCTTCGGTTAGTGGTCCCGCGAGGCCAACACCCTGCCTCACACTCGGAGGCATACACCCCTCGGGCCACTCGTGAGCTAGCCGCCTCGCATTGTATCATAGAGAGGGCCTCACCTGTCACTCCCCCTCCTATTTTCTGGTTACTGTCACCGAGAGGCCAAAATCCTGCCACAACGTTCGGTGGCCACACAAAAAAATTTCCCTCACCAGTCACCAAAAAACACCAAGCCTAATCGTTTCGCCTTACGGCTTAGCTAGCAAGCCAGTACAAGACCCCTGGGTACAAATAATAATTGCAATCTTTATTGTTATTTAAGTATTTCTCAAAAAGATGGTGAAGAATCACCTCTTCCTGGCACCCCGGCTAGAAGTGATACACCTTCAAGCAGAGGAGATGTGGCTCCGACCTAAGGAGGCGACAAATACCCTACCCTGCCACAGCAAGGAAAGCAGAGTTATTCAAACTCCTCCATACATCAATGGACAACACGGAGGCAGGGGAAGGCCCAGCAACACCAACTCAGGTGACACCCAGGCCATGCTAGCCTCACTCATAAACTCATGAGCCAAAAAATTTACGACAGACTGGCAATTTCGAGTCAGTCACAGCCCTCACAAGGCTGGGCCTCACGCTACTGTACAACCAGCACCAACCGAAACTCGGTTACTTGGTACAAGACGTTAACCCTGCACATATGATCCCGGCACATTGGGGAAACAAGGCATATATATGTATGATGATGTATCTATGATGGTCAGACCCAGGGATTCTAGGTAAATCGGGAACTGACCATCCCTTGGTTGTGTTGGCATTTGGAATATGTAGAGATGCTTATTTGTGCAGGTACCCATACAGAAGGGATTTTCTCCCAAACAAACGGGTGAGCACTCTCAGGCTCCAGGTACCAGCACCTCTGAACTACCATAGACAATTGGTATTAGTAGTTGCATTGCATATAGACTGTTGCATATATGTTCAAATCATTCAGGGCACATGACAAACCATGTGTCCCAATACAACTTACAAATAACGTACTCTCCATCTGTACACACCAATGCATTTTCAACACTACTGACTCATCACCCTTCCAGACTTGTAGTAGAGTTACTAAGGCTCTGGAGCTTCAAAGGGCTCCCATACAGGTATCATAAATAAACTCTCAAGGAATATAGCATGCCCTCACTTACAGTCAGCACAACAGAACTGTCGGCTGTAAACACACTCATAGCCAAGATTTGCAGAGGGGGTTTTACTTGGGTTTTCCAATCTCCACCATTTACAGCATGGCACCAAACACAAATGCATTGGTATTGTCACAAGGGAATCTTCCCTTAAACAAAGACTAACCATAGACTTATTGGCACCACACACCTTCGCTACCCCAAGTCTCAACTCCCTCATACCCTCCGAGGAGTTTCCTTACTATACACACCATTGATCTACCTTTACAGCTATCACTCAAGCAGGGGTTGAAGCTTCGTTAAGTAAGACCAATATCATCAACACAGTAAACGGCTACCATCTACCCTACAAACTGGCACTTACATGGCATAAAATGGGCAATCCTTTCCCCGCTAAAAGCAGCTGCTGTGGCATGGGGTAAATCATGGTCAGGGTCATCAATCCGTTGTTACTCAGACAACTGAGCACATGTCATATCATCAACAAATGCCACTCATCATCCACACGATCATGGTATTGCTGGGGAACTCACTTGGTTGGCCACTTACCACATTTCTTTTACTTTCATGTACCAGGCGTTGGTATACATCCTTGCCGACAATTGTCTCATTTATATTCTAGGCACGTTTATCATACGCTTCCTACAGCCTTATATACAGTCACGGCCACTCTTTCGTTCCAGAGACAAAATCATGGATTAGACATACTCATGCAGCATAGCATGCACTATCCCACCTAGCACTTTCATCCCATACTTGTAGAACGCACCTATTCACCTTGCTTTAAAGAATCTCATTGGAACACGACATAGCTCAACCTGTGTCATAACATTTCTCCTAGGTTTTGCTTCATTTTTTGCCACCTTAAACTAAAAACATCTCACACACCATTAATTATATATTTTACAGGCATTCAACAACACAGGATAACCTATGGCCAAAACTACCATAACTTCATGCTATCATACCAGACAAGAATATACTCAGAGGTTTTCAGGAATCCATCCCCCACGTTCCTCTCAGATATTACCAATAGCCATCCAACTTTTCCATCCTTATTGGACCTATTAGAGCTACAACCTTTCAATTATACTACCAAGTTGGCCATTACCAGCCATGCACACTGCCTTTTATGCCTTTCTCAGGCTAGAGAATCCACTACCATAACCACCACTCAGACAGATCATTGTCTTCAACGATCCCACATGTGTAAACACATATATCATTACCTATTGGCTCTACCACATTCCGAAACGAGTCAACACGCACCAACAGTAGAGATAACATACTATCCTACACCACAACAAATGGTGTCCAGTTGCGGTCCTAGATTCCTACCTTCAAAAATCCTTCAAGGAATTAAATACCGTAATGCATTTAAGGAAATGTCTGGTTAATTTGTATATATTGTTGACTGTATTAAATCTTTGATTATTCTTTTTGCCCTCTTTATTTACAGGCCTACCGTATCGTCGGTCTTGGCACACCACAACCGACTTGCTCCCTTTATACTATCCTACGCTTATGCTGGAACCTTACTCCATATACAGCTATTTGCCCTGAACACAAGTTTTAAGGCCATTTGGCCTGTATTTGTGGGAGGGGCTTAAATTAATTCACTCCCCTATATAAGGGACACCCCTTACCTGACTCATATCGCTTGAGGTCAGCATCAGAATGACCCTCCCACCCACTCCTCATTTCAACACTTTCTCTTTTCTTTCCATTTACTTTACTTACTTACTCCTTGGTGGGCCCTCTTTATTTACAGGCCTACCGTATCGTCGGTCTCAGCACACCACAACCGACTTGCTCCCTTTATACTATCCTACGCTTATGCTGGAACCTTACTCCATATACGGCTATTTGCCCCGAACACAAATATATATACACACACACACACACATATATACATGTGTATATATATATATATATATATATATATACATATATATATATATATATATATATATATATATATATATATATATATATATATATATATATATATACACATATATACACATATATTCAGTGCCTTGCAAAAGTATTCACCCCCCTTGGCATTTTTCGTGTTTTGTTACCTCACAACCTGGAATTAACATGGATTGTTGGAGGATTTGCATCATTTAAGTTACAGAACATGCCCACAACTTTGAAGATGTTTTTTTTTTATTTTTTTTTATTGTGAAGCAAACAACAAATAGGACAAAATAACAGAAAAAGTCAATGTGCATAACTATTCACCCCCCTAAAGTCAATACTTTGTAGAGCCACCTTTTGCGGCAATCACAGCTCCAAGTCGATTTGGATAAGTCTCTATGAGCTTGCCACATCTTACCACTGGGATTTTTGCCCATTCCTCCTTGCAAAACTTCTCCAGCTCCTTCAGGTTGGATGGTTTGCGCTTGTGAATAGTAATCTTTAAGTCTGACCACAGATTTTGTATTGGATTGAGGTCTGGGCTTTGACTAGGCCATTCCAACACATTTACATGTTTCCCCTTAAACAACTCAAGTGTTGCTTTAGCAGTTTGTTTGGGGTCATTGTCCTGCTGGAAGGTGAACCTCTATCTTAGCCTCAATTCAAGCACAGAGTGGTACAGGTTTTGCTCAGGAATATCCCTGTATTTAGCACCATCCATCTTTCCCTCAACTCTGACCAGTTTCCCAGTCACAGCTGCTGAAAAACATCCCCACAGCATGATGCTGCCACCACCGTGTTTCACTGTGGGGATGGTGTT